GTTTTTTTGTTTCGTGCAGGGTTGCCAGATTTTTTTTTAACCTAGTAGCCAAACCAAAATTGAAAGTAGCCCAAAATAGCCTGACATCTAGTAACAAAAACCGTTATTTATAATTTTTATACATTTGAAGTTTAAAACCATTCGGGTTTGAGTTTGTTCTGTGAGTCTGGGGATAACCCTTTTCTAGTGGTATGTGGACAACCCTGAGAAATAGAGTAACTGTTTGTTGTTCTCGGGTAAGGGTAAGAATACAACCCACAGAACATATAATGCATACAAGTACAACTATGGCCGTAATAATCTAGTAGCTGCAACATGGGAAAAATTTGAGCTCACTTTGATCTTGACATATGTAATTTAGCTACTACTCAACAGATGGCAGCAATAAGTACTAAAGAACTAGATTTAAATTCAAAAATAATTCTCTGACAATAAATAAATACTTCATCTCTGGAATAATTACTTAACTAAGGTAAATATATATATGATTATAAAACTAGATTATTTTGGTACAACTGACAACAAGCAACAACTTTACTATTAGCACAGATTACTCTTCTACTATCTACACGTTACTTATAAAATAACCAATTTATTCTAAGATTCTACAATACAGAAATGGGCATATAAAATATAAAAAATAAGTCGAATAAAATGTTTTATTCCAAAAAATAGACTTAACAGTCTTGAGTAAAAATAGAATTTATATAAATATACTATTCGATTTGTACAGATTGCCGACACTGGTAAAAACTCGAAATAGCCCAAATTGGCGACTGGCTATTTTTGCTCTTTTTCAAGTAGCCGTAAGTCATCTGAGATAGCCCAATTGGCGATAGGTAGCCCAATCTGGTAACCCTGAGCCTACATGCTTCAGTGACGACTATAAATAAATTTAGTTATGTGACCATGCGGCAGTGTAGAAAAAGAAAGAGATAGTTTGAATACCATCTTTCGCTCTCGCGCCAGCACGTGATTGGCTAACATAACTCCTATCGCAATGATTAGACAGAAAGAGCGTGTATCTAAACTTTATCTCTTTCTCTCTAGAACGTG